CAATATACACCTTTACTTAGTTTAAAGTTTTTTAATTGAATGTCAGTCAATTACACAGTTATAATCCATACCTTATTACAAAGTACCATACACATGCATTTTAAATAGCACATTTTCTTAACTTAAACCATTTTCCTTTCTAGAAACCATTGCAACTAAGGAATCCATTGTGATTATGGTAAAAGCCACAAAGTATTACTTCATGTGATTATTTCACTGCTAATTAAAAAAAAAAAAAAAAAATCACCCTCCTATCTGATTTTCTATTTAACCAACATTTCCCAACATCAAATGCTTTTCCAGGGTAAAGTATTTCTCACCTATCTTAATGTTACCTATCATATGATTTGAGTACTTTCCAAAAATTAATTAGGCTCACAACAGCTCAGCAATCTCATTTACTCTTAACCTCACTCCTTTCACCATGAGCCACGTTCTATTTTTTCTTCATAGCTGCTTTTTATAGTGACTATGAGGATATTAATTTGAAGTGAGTTTTCAGCTTTGTTCTGAAAGCTGAGAAAATTGTGGTCAATATAATGTCCTCTGACAGGGAATCTGAAATCTTTTATTTTGTTTATTGAATTAGCTTATCTTCTGCTCCCATGAGCTTCGTTTTTCAGATTGATAGATTCATGATTAATACAAAAGAGAATAACTGAGGATGGCAGTCTCCTCAAGTATAAATATATTCTGCAGCATGTGGGGAAAAACATTTCTTACAGGACTTTCACGGATAGAGCCCACATCTTCAGCCTGACAATTTTAAAGGATAACAACAGCCAGTGTTTGTTGTACCTTCTGCTGAAGTCATATAAATTCAGTAATTCATTCAGGCAGTTTTCAATGAAAAAAACAGGACCTAACCATAAGACAACAGGCTCAGGTACAGCTTTGTAGTTAACTTCAGGTAGAAAAAGAGAGCTTTCAAAATTTTTGACTATTCAGTCTTTCTATGATTGAATGCCAAGCTATTCAAGTGAACTGCTTTGGTGCTCTAGCTAGCATGAGACTCCATCAGTATAAGGTGATAGGCTGGAAGATGATATCTTTAGTGGAATTTAACTAAGTAGTCTCTTCTTGTCATTTTCTATCTTGATAGGATGTGAATTTTTTACAACTTCTGTGATTTAAGACCTGATTCACATGTGTCCAGATCTGAAGAGACAGGTGTCTGCTAAGGAAGGCAGGAGCCTCCCTTGAAATGGAAATGTAAGCCCCTTCCCCCGAATTAGTATAATTTGAAATTAAGGGGCTTTCAGGCAAAGATATGGGAATAGGAATAACAGTTCTTTACTAGGAAAATTAAAATGAAAATTAAAATGCAGTAGTACAAAAAAAAAACACTGACAGGGTCAGAATACAACCTGACACCCTTTTGGTCAGGCTGTTGGTAGCAGTCTGATTAAATGGTGGCTGCAGTCCTCCTGCAGTGACAGATGTGGTTCTGTTGAAGCAGTGATCCTGTAGAAGGGTGTAGTTTTCCTCTGAAGGTCCGATAGAATGGTCTGGTTTTCTTTGTGAATCCAGTGGACAAAAGCTGGCCGTGGTGTTCCAAGTCTCAGATTATATCCAGGTAGGAATGCTTGGCTCCTCCCCCTGGGTGGAGCATCTGACAATGGGATGATGGAATTTATCAGTCATGCAGCGAGACTCAATGGCCCATTAACAGAAAATATCACCCTGGAGTTTTGAGGGATGGGGTGTGGAAGAGATAAAGAACACTGCCCCAGCTGGTTTTAACAGCTGTTAATAGAATACATCTGGTTACAGCTTGCATTGCAACCTAAGACAACATGAGACACTGGGACAGGTGAAAGCTGAGAACATTTTTGAGATAAATAAACAACATGATGGAGCTTTTGACACGTCAGAGATTTTGGACTATCAAAGTTATTTCCCAATGAAAAGAAGCCTGCCTATAGAGGTATTTAAGTTAAAGATGTTACTCAAAATAATTTTCAAGAGAATCCTCAGAACATAACATTTTAAAAAGAAAGGAAAATATATATAAATATAGTATGTATTCTTTAGATTTTCCTTGTATCCATGTAAGAAGCAGGGCATTACAGTTCTCTTAGAAAATCAAATGAAAAATTCTATTGATTTAGTTTACTATCGGATAGGCATTATGAAGCATTAGGGAATTGATGTCCACATCACATTTTTAATCTGTTGTATAGAATATTTGAGATGTGTGCACGACAACCCTGTATTTGTTTGTAAAAGCCAATTTAAACTATTTCAGGGAACATATGCATTATATATGAAATACTTAAAGCTCCAGCTGAATAAACAATCACATTTGCCATCAATTTCAAAGGTCTACAAGTAGACTTTGTGTACAATTTGAAATGAAAAATGTGTACATGCATCTGACCTTTTTCATTTAAAATGCTATTCTGCCTTATCTAAATTACATATGGTTTGGATCTGTCTGTATTAAATAATTGTAGGTAGAAGGATGAAGCTTCACATGTAATATTTCTCCACAATATATATTTATTGGCATTCAAGCAGGTTTTATTGTCAATACTTATTGTACCAAGTGTGACATCATGTGTCAGGAACCCTGAAGTATTTCAGCACATATGGCTGGTAAAGCTGTGGTTAATGCCCATTAACACTTTTCAAGGAGAAGTGAAATAATATGATACACCAATATTCTAGGGAAGAAATACAGAGTTTAATATCAGGGTATTGGTTGGGGGTGAGGGTTTGGCTTGCAGTTTTCTGGGGTTTATGGGGCCTTTTGAAAGGGGATTACTTTTTTTGAGATAAAATCCAATTGTATTCATTTAATAAGATTTTTATTATCATGTTTTTATCAACTATGGCTCAAATGAGATCTTTAGTTGTTTAAATGGAAAACTTAAGCTGCTAAATGAAAGCACATTCACTTGCTACAAGTACTCATTTAGAAACAAAGCAGCGTGAATTAAAACCATATAAGTAAGAAATTGTTGTCTGACATAGGAAGCTTTTAAATGTATTTCTAGAAGATATTGCTGATGATGCTGATGTCAATAGAACGATTTTTTCCTTTTGTTAAAGCAATGTGATTTCCTTCAGAATAAGCTGTGTGGCAGTAATCCTTCTGAAAGTGGCAGATTTTAGAACTATACTCGCAAAGGGAAGAATGATTGCATTCTGATTTGCATTAATGTAAAAAAAATCACTACACGAGGAAGAAGTTAATCCCACTCCTATTAACACATCACCCATGAAAATGAAATCATGACATTTGATCTTGCTCTCAGTGAATTCAGTGTATTGAGTTTAATAGAAAATCAACCTCATCGCAGCTAAGTCCAGCACTGGCCCTGCTACTCTAATTAGACTTCAACAATATTAGTTTCTTTTTTCCCCCTCATCTTTTTACTTCATTTCCCTTGACTGGAGTGCAGTTTCACCAAAATGTAGTAGACTAATCATTAACTGGCAGCAGCACAGAGACTGAAACTTTAAATTGACAATCACAGCAGTAGAATACCAGAAATTTATAGAAGCATAACCATTTCTTCTGTTGGGTGTGTGATAATTGTTTTTCTACTCATTTACATCCAAAAGTAATTAAGCTCTACAACAGTGTACTATAGTGTTGGTGCAAAGTCTGCTGTTTGGAGGTTATGCAGAGATTCCATGAAAATATCACAGTGGGAACTGTTGTTCATTTACATTGTCACTTCCTAAAAATTTGCAGAAACATACCCTTGAAAGAATTAGGTCACACGAAATGTGGCCTAAGGGGTTCTCCTTTCTGTTTTCTCCAGTGGAGTTCTGCAGCTGATGCGATAAAAACCATTCTACATCAATAATTTTTTTGAGTTTATGTTTCCTGAAAAATTTATTTGGCTTATGGAAATAAAACAACTTTATCATTCAGTGGGAAAATTTCCTTGTCTTTCCTTCCAGACCTGATTTCTTGATACAAATGCAGTGGTGTTGCAGTGCATACGAAGTTGTACAATGAAAGTTGGCAACTCTAATATCTTCTGAACCTTCTTCAAACAATTGTAGTTAAAACCATGCATTAAAAATGCATGTCATAGTAATATAAGAAAATGATTACAGGAAGCTTTGCTTTCCCTGCATATTAAAACTTACATATAAACAAATACAACTTCAAAGTTGAGAGATTTTCTTTCTCATTATATTTTTTACCAAAGTCTCACAGTGTTTCATGATCACATGTGCCTTTTGCTTTTAGAGGGGAAATGGATAGCTGTTGTTTTCTGGTGCTATTGATAATATGAAAAAAAGCTACAAGATAACAACATAGCTAGTACTTTTCTTATTGAAAGTAAGCAAATTAATCACTGTAGTGGGCAGAGAAAAGCTAACTCCCTCTCTCATTTACTTTTCTGAAACTCATTGATTTACATGGTGAGGCATGACTGTAGCTGGCAGCAGTATTATACCCTTCATTTCTTAATACTTTATATATGCTTGTTTCTCTAGTTAGGAAATGCTTTGATATAAATAAACACACTTTAGTCCTGATTTTGCAATCACTTACACATTTTCATGACAGTTTCCTGAATCAGGCCTATATCTGCTTATGAACCAAAACCAGCATTTTATGTTCCATGAGCTTTATCTTATTGAGAAAATTTGCATGAATTTTGTTGCATTCCACTTTCCAAAGCTTCTCATACATGTACGTAAATACTTTCCTTTCTCTTCCTATATTTTCTCCTCTTTTTTTGATTTCATATATTTTGGGCATTGTTTATTTATTGCAACATCTCACAATAGTATTGATGATTCTAACATTTCATTTATGCTTGTTCATTTTGCCTTATGGTCATAGAAGTTTTTCCTTGAATATTCAGAGGGATCTCATGTAAGTATAACACCAAAAGTCCATCTTTATGTAATTTGTATAAATTATGCACTACAATAATATCTTTAACTGTTATTAAAATACAAATAAATAGACAAGGAATAAGCTTTGGATCATTTATTATGTCTGTAAAAACATAAACAGCCATAAATAAATGAAGATAGATTCAGAATAACCATCTGTTAGGAAGTTAGCTCAAGTCAAAACACTTAAAAATTGGCACTGTAGACTGTATTCATGTAAATATGTATTTAGACATTTAAATATCTGGCTTTGTGTACAGATGTTCTGATTCACTGCAGCCTTCATTTGGGAACTGCTAAAGGCTCAGGATCGACCTACTCAGGTAGCTGCTGAAAATTGGATTCAGGCGCTAAACTTTGTGTTTCTCTGAAATATTGGCACAAGTTCATAGTCTAACAATAGGTCTGTCTCCACAGCTGCTTCCTTGCCAAATCATAAGCCTAGAGTGTTGCAGCAAACCTCTTGTTAGGGTAGAAATGAGCCAAGACACATTTAACAACGTGAAAAGGGTCCCAGTTTATTATTCTTTACAGCTGAGCCACCCTGACTGACTACAGAAAGCTCCTACTGTAGGGTCACCTGCAGCCTTTGACTGCTGGTTATTTCCTGCTGGCCTGTGACTGCAGGTATTGGTTTGCAGGCTCTGACCACAGGCTTTTACCTGGCTCGACCATGAGTGCAGGCTCCAGCTCCATCAGACCCAGACTGACCCCACAGCAGATCTTTTATAGCAGCAACTCTTTCCCTTGTTTTGTTCTTCTTAGCGTCTCTCTGGATCACTCCTTCTTCCTCAGCGCTTCTCTACTTCCCCAAGGTTCTCTTTCTCCAGCTCCCCTTCCTCAAGGTTCCTTTCCTCCAGGTTTTTCCTGAGCAGCCAACCCTCCCCTTCTATCACACTTGTCTTTATTAGTCATAGCTGCGACCCATTAAGGACAAGGCTGTTGCTCTTTGGAAATTAGTACAACTGTGATTTTCCAGGGGCGAGGTGGTTGGTAATCCTTTCTTCTACACCTACAATAGAGGTCACAAGAGCCTTTCTCCGTAAGTGATTTGATAATTAGGCGAAATCTCCCTGGTCATGAAAGATGCAGATTTGAAACCACATAGTCTGGGCTTGTTTCCTGCTTCCTGGGAAGGTGCTTCATCACTAGGTTTTCAAACTATAAAAACTAAGACAGTCATTCCTGCCCCTGCCCATATCCTTTTTGCCTGCTTTCTTAAGAGCACCAGGCTTAATGGGCCATAAGGTTATTCTTTTCTGTAAATCTTTCCCACCCGCCCCTTCAACTCACATAACTTTTAAACTCATTGTCCAAATTCAGTCAAACTGAAATCAGGGCTGAGCTTCTGGAAAAATAAGCATCTGGTGAGGAGGGAGGGATCCAAATTCATGTCCTGGTGAAAGAGCTGTCATTAGGGTATGCAAGAGATAAAAAGTTCAAAACATGCCTTAGCTCATACCCTCTATTAGTTGGTAGAACTTGTGGGAAAAAAATTGTCATTGTAAAGAGGTGTAGTGCAAAATCAGCACGCATCCATGGGAAACAGGCATCACTACAGTTTCGTGACACAACTTGCTTTTAAATTTAATCTCATCCAGAAGGAATGGCAATAGCTATCTACCATCAGAAAAGCTCCTGGGCTGTTGCTCCAGGCCAAACACAAATATTTAAGTCACAGAGAAAAACTCTTCTGCTCCCTGTTCCTCCACTGGCTGCCTCTGTGAGACTCACTGATCAGCCCTTCACTCGCTTCAGCAGTGCTCTTGGGAATACAGCTCCTGCTATATGCTGAGGTAAATTTAATGCAGCCCTACTGAGTCTCCTGCAGAGCCCACAGATATTAAGTGTTGCAATTCCTAATGTTGTCTAAATTTCTGTTCTGACTGTAAAAGATTTATACCAGTGTTGTCTCCTGCCCTGTGTCTCTAATTCTGCCTGTTTTCACAGTTGTCTTCTGTGGATGTGTGAAGTTAAGTCAGTCTGTTAGCTGAAAATTGTGAGTGCTATTATTGTTCCTCTCCTATAAAATCAAGTAATCTTCTTGTGCCATTTCCTCTATACAACTAGAACCATAACCCCAGTTTAAGCCATTCTGAGCTGCTAGATGCAGATAAATTACAAGGGCAAGGATATGTAAATAAATATTAGCCTGACTTCTTCAATGTCTTCTCAGCATTCAGTGACAGTGGTTATAATCTCTGCCAGACAACTATCAGCAGTTTCAGGAACTGTGGAAGCAGATGGCTGAAGCACTAGATCTGATAACAAGCATGCCTGAACTTACTGACTTTTCTGCATTTTTTGATATTAGGTAGAGAGGAAAGCTTATGCCTCTGTAAAATGAGGATATTGCAAAACTAGCAAGAGATTTCTGGATTAGTTGTTTTGGTTTTTTTTCTTAATCCATACAATTAAAGGAAAAGAAGACAATAGAAGAGGAGAGGTCTCAAGCACTGGGAGACTGTTGGTACCTCTCTTCTCACAGACTAGCAACAGCTTCAGTTCACCTCCTCCATCTTACAAACTCAATTCTTTAGCTGATATACACGTTCCTGTAAGAGCCCTATGCTTGCATTAATACAGTTGACATTCCATTCTAATCATTTCCCAAGCAGACTTGGGAGTAATTAAGTAGGTGAGATTCTTACTCATAACTGTAAAGCAAAGATACTGGGTTCTAGCAACAGATGTGCTGATTACCCTGTCTACCTTTTCACCGTGTTTTGCTACAGAATTACAGCAGAAAGTCAACAGGCCCAGATATAGCATGTTAATTGGCGTCCAGTGGGATATTTTAAGTTACACTGTGGAATAATTATGCTAAACCATAATGCATATATTCTTATAAGTTAGAATATATGCATTATGAAACATACTTCAGAAAATTAACTAGCCAAAGGAATGTCCTTGGCTTCCCTTCCTCCACTTCCAACCTTTGTTTTTCTTCTACTTCTCCCATGTCCACATTCTTCTCCCTGGGACAAGAAATGTCTATTTGACTTATCAGTCAAGCACCCAATAAACTTTGGCTGTGTTAGGATAAGTAATTCAGGAGGACCTTTCCAGATACCACACTATCCAGTGACAACATTTCTTGGTGACTCATGAATTTTCTTCACATGATTTTATTGAGATTAATGTATGTTATTCTTTTCCCTTAAAATAACGTCATCATTTCCTTCAAAAGCATCATTCTGCTCTAGCTGCTGTTGTCCAAAAATGTGCAGTGATATTTTTCTGATGCAGAATTTTCTCTTAATCTTGAGGTAGTGCTTCCAGTTCAACACTGAAGCTGCAGAGTTGGGTCAGACACCTGTAAACTCACTGCAGCCATTAGCATTAAACAACACAGGAGATGAAACTGCCGTCTGTGGTCTGTTGGAGAGAAGCGATAAAGGAATTCTGTGAGATGTTATATCTTCCTTTCCTCTGGAGGCTGACCCTATCCACTGAGCAATAAGCATTCCAGGAAATCTTCAAGAGAATATTACTCTTGAAATATTTCCCACTTAGATATTAGTCACACTGACTTCCAAGTTATCTTTGCAAGGTGTCCCAAATTTATCTAAAAACCCCCTCATGACTTTCCTTCATAGGAATGGACATTTCATTGTTATTAATGTAAAGCTGATTACAGTGTGTGCATGTTCTTTCAGATCACCCAAGTTTGAGAAAGCATATTTAAGTTGCCAGGGAAGAAATTTCTTGACAGCTTTTTACTTCTGCTCTTCATTATAATACATGAAAATGCAGACTTCAAACATTCAAACACGCTGCTGTGCCGTAGAACGGTTTTCTTGGTTGTTATGAAGCTCTAGGCTGGCCCGAGCTGACCAAGAGCATTCAGCCATAGCACTTGCCTCTTGTCTTGTCTCCTCCTCTCTGGCCTGACATGCCTGTGTATGTGTGTGTAAGAGCTGCTCTCCTGCTGAGGCTGAGCAGCTGTGCGCTCGTCAGGCACCAGGGATGGAAGGACTGTAAGATGAGTGAATGACGAATGGGGAATTAAGATTGTGGCTGCAAAACGTAGCATGCTTTAGCAATGTTGGAGGACAAAAATGGTCATATTTGCCAGGATTTGCTGGAGAATGATAAATGACAAAAAATTCTACTCTCATGCTTTAAAGTGCTGGCATGGCAGAAAATTGGGATAGCAAACACTCAAATGACCGCTGCAGAGAAGATGAAATTACTGTGACTGCTTCACTGCCATCAGCCTATGGAAACATGATATTTGCAGCAGTTTCAGACAAGCAACTACAAATTCACCTGAGGAGCAAAGATATTTTCCTTTTTTAAGCATGATTGTTCAGGTTCACTGCTTTTGTAATGCAGTAGAAGGATATTAAGAGAAGTACTACAAAGTGAACCAGGAGTGCTGCATTGTTAGCAGTTGGAGGTTGTCTCTGTTATGACACCTGTATGATCAGTGCTAACCAGTTTCAGTGCTCAGCATGTCATGTGTCCCCTTTGCATACAGAAAAGCCATTTTTACTCCCATGTGTAGCTCCAGAATAGATTTTTAATGGTCCTTTTTCCAACAGCCTTATGGCATTATATGCTTCTGGATGGTTGCAATTCTTCAGGTGTAAGCAATGCAAGTAAGAGCACCAGTTTATTCCTATATTCATACATGCCAGCAGTAAAATTGTGTCATGAACACTGAAAATCAGAAAAATATATTCTTCATTCATACTCCTATAGCTAGGACCTTTGATTGCATTTTATTTTTATCAGAAAAAAATGCCATCTGAAATGGGAAAAATAACCTTTCATTAATAATTTTTACTGGAATATTTCCATTTTCTTAAAACAATGAAGAAAAAGTGTAACAAATATATGGGATATATTAAAAATATTTTTCTTTTAAAATATTGTAATATATGTCAATAGATTATTGTATATAATTGTATATCTACTAATTTTACCTTAAAAATCTGCTAATCTTTTCCCATCCTATTGTTTTTATACACACTCTTTGTATGCAATTACTTCCTTGTTACAAACAGCTGTCTTTAGGCCTCACTAAAATGCTTGTGTTTTAGTAACACTGTGATCCCTTTGTGAAAACATTAGGAGTACATTTTAATAAACACAGCCCAGAGTCTGTGATATCTTTAGTGGCACAGTAAATAATGATTTTATATGAGATGGTAAAGAAAGTAATCTTATAAACATTGCATAAGTGGCAAAACAAAATGTTTTGTTATGTATTTGCAAGAGTGTGTCAGTCCACTAAATCTTAATAAGTGGTCTAAGGTTACTGACATGTAAATATCTTGTGTCACCTGGTACTGGTGTAATTTAGACAAGAAGAAGATTGCATGTTTTCCAGTTAAGAATCACTAATGAAATAGTTCTTATACCCTCATCTTTTTCCACACTTAATTCAGATTCTTAAAGCTCAAAAAAAAAACCAAACAATCAGTCTGAATGTGGTGTATGTGTAGTTTCTACATTGCTTTGAAAAGCCTTCAACTTACCCAGTTCAAAAGCTGTGAATCTGCAGAAATACCACACCTAAGGGACACAATTTCCTTTCTCTTTTTATCTGTTTTGCATTCCTGTAAGACTACACATTATAATACATTTTAGTTGTATAAAAATTGTCTTTTTTTTGTGTTTGCTTGAAAAGTTATTATGAATTCAAATCTATGCTTTTCCTAATGTAAAATGAATAGCTGTTAACTAGCTTTTGATAAGTATTTATTTTTATGCCCTTCATAAAAAGAAAGCAAATCCACATAACGGGAAGGCTTTTTCTTAATCTATAATATTCATTAATTCAACTGTAAAAAACAAAGGAAGAGTAATCAGATTACCCAATTAATTTACATATATATAAATATATTTATACATAAAGACACACCAAAAGGAGATATCCTGATCCTTATAGTACTGATACCTGTGGAGCAGGGTGTTCCTTTACATCTGGCTTGAGAATAAGATAGCACATTCCAGTTTCAGTGCTAGCTGTCCCTTAAACTGCATAAATTCTGTCCTTGTCCAACCGCGATGAAAGAAATCTTGGCAAATCCACACAGTCATTCATAGCTTTCATCTCCTTGTCCTTTCTCAAATCACTGCTAAAACACCCTCTGTTGACTTCAGGCTCTTGCTTATTTAGCTTAATTAGGGAACAGTGAAACTAGAAAACTGGCAGCTTTAGGCATATTCAGCAACCTCTAGGCATATCTAACCTCTTGCTCCCATAATTTTGATGAGAAATTTTTAATGCATTGACCTATTTTTATATGGTTGTATTCCACAGAATCACAGAGTAGGTAGGGTTGGAAAGGAGATCACATAATCCAACCCCACCTGCCAAGGCAGGGTCACGCAGAGCAGGTGACCCAGGAACGTGTCCAGGTGGGTTTGGAATGTCTCCAGACAGGGAGACTCCGTGGCCGCCTCTGGCAGCCTGTTCCAGTGCTCTGCAACCCTCAAGGGAAAGGAGTTCTAATTTCTTCCTCATGTTGAGGTGAAACTTCCCCTGGCAAAAAAAGGGTTCACCCTTCTGTCACAAAGTTAGGAAAGCAGTCATGGAAGCCATTTAGTTCTCCATGCAATTTTTGATGGGCGAGACCAAATAGACCCCTTAGATGGTAATGGCTTTGGACAGCAAAATCAGACACAAACAATTCCCTTAGTACATAGCAGATGTACAAACATAGCAGCAGTTAGGAACACAAAGTATTGGATTACTGAGCTTTTTACTTGTGAAGAAAAACATAGGGTTCCCCCTTAAAAGCATTTTGGTTGCATTAATAAAAAACTTCCATTGGTGGAAGGAGGATGGATTGCTAAGCCTCTTAGGTTTAAATATGTATGTAACTCAATGTCAAAAATTGGCTGGTTTAGGATTGTTGGTTTCATATTGGAATCAGTGATCTTTGAAGCACTTGAGGACTTTCAGGTTTGTCATTTTGAATTACATTAAAAAATAGATAATGTTTATTCCACACACATGCAAAGATTTGTTTTTTTCATGGTTTTAATTCCTTTTGCATTAATGATGCTATATTTGGATGAGTAATTAATGGGATGAACAAACATATTTCACATCAGCCCAGCAAAGCTATGCAAATTTTGCACACACAAACATGATTTCCAACTAAAAAAATATTATTTACATTGTACCAGCTTATATACATCTAAAACAACTGGCAGAACATCAGAATCACATAAGTGGTGCAAGTCTTGTTGCATGTTAAGCATGATTTGTGACTAATAGTAAATGTTTTGCAATAGTAAACGTTGTCCCAAGGCCAATGAGATGTCAGCCTCCAAATTCCATTCCCCTGTTGAGCATACTATTTATCTAAGATTATTTAGCTCTGCTTTGTTTGATATTGATCTGTAGCACTAACATAGGCAAACTTCAAAGTCTAAATTAATTGGATAAGTTTAACTACTTAAAAAAAGGAAAAATTATTCTCTTAATTTTTTACCACATTCATATGTTTGCTAATAAATTTTGTTACAAAACCTGTGATTTCTTTTTCATTCTTCTATTACAAAAAAAAAAACAAACAGCAAAATACCCCAAAATCTGGGCTTAGAAAGGATTGCATCTGATATTGATAACATTTCCTGGAAATGGAAAAACTGCGGTAACAGCTGCTGTCTTGGCTCATTTTCAGTTGGGTTTTTTGGTTTGTTTGGTTTAGGTTTTTGTTGGTTTAGTTGTTTTGGGTTTTTTTTTTTTTTTAATTCAGCAGTTTGCAAGTAGTTGCAGCTATCTCTAGTAAGCTTACATCATTAGTAAAACCTCATTTCCATATTTCCTGTCCAATCAGAGCACTTCCTCTACTTGCTGACTTGTTGGCTTTCTGAATGGCATTTATAGTAACAGCACATAAATGCTTATTTGTGAAATAACTAAAGGTGGCTGCATATGGAAGATAACTACAGAAATAATCTATATTTTATGCTAAAGCAAAATGCCTTCAATGAGAATTAAGAAAATATTTTCTAAGACATGATGAGCTAAAATGTCTCTATATTAGTATTCTTTTTAAATTCCAAGCGTACATGCCTTGTTGGATTGAAATATTCTTCTGCAATCTCTGCAGTACTGTAGCATTGTAAAGTGATAAACACTCAGCACTAGTGATGAAAAATAGAAGAAAGAGCCAAGTAAAGCAAGAGACAAGGAACTCAAGTGTTGATAGTGTCAGGAAAAAACAGGTCTGTGCTTATTCAAGGATTTGGCCTTCTTAGATTATATGAATACTTTCAGCCTTAATGCTTTAAAGTGCTTTGAAATATATGTGTTAATTTGAGTTTTTAAAATTATGTCTTATGATTTCAAATCAGAGTATTAATGAAATATGATTAATTTTTCAGCCAAATTTGTGCCTCTTTCCTTGGAATAAGATTAAGCTCCCAAAAACAGTGTTATATACGTGGTAATCTGTTACTGCATCAAAAGTTTACATTTATTTTGTATCAAAACAGATAATAATTCTCCCTTTGACATTTGTAACTCCAGCAAGTCTTCCTTCATGAAACACATGTTCATAATTAAGGAGTAGCACTCTCCTCCATCACATTTGAAATGGATGATAAAAATCTCTGCCAGCCCAAGGGGATCTCTGCACCCTTTCCCTTTATGGGATTACTCTGTGCTGAGCAACTGCAGATATTCCACCCTGAGCAACCTGATCTAATTTAGGAAATGGAGCTGACTTAGGGCAAAGCATTTGGACCAGATGACTCCAGAGGTTCCTTCCAACATAAATTACTCCAAGAGCTCTTCTTTCCAACACTCTAGCTTTGGGACCAGCCTACTTGAGGCCAGTTTGCACTTTGTGCTACATAATCTAGACTTATCCTGAAGAACATTTAATACTGATGCTCACATTGCTCTGAGTTTTTACAAAGTGAACGTGGGGTTCTCTGTGTGTGTTAGTAACGACCAGAAGTCTTAAGCTCCTGGTGTCTCTTCCTTGCCCTGAGTGAAATGAACTGGAAATGTCCCACTGTTTCTTAGCAGACAGGAGGGGTTTAGACTCTCACCCTGTGACTTTTCACAGACTTTCAATTAAATGAACAGGGAGACTGCACTACCTCATCCTTCCTGGAGCTGACAAATTCAAAGCACAGTTCTGAGTCACAGCGATAGGAGTGGTGCAAAGGAGCCTTCCTCTCTCTCCCCATACTGACTCATCGGGGCTTTCATTTTCCACTCCAGTCAGGAAGCCAACACATTCTATGACAATTAAATTTTTCCTAACAAGAAGATTTTGAAAGCTTAATTAGGCTTTGAACTGTACCTGAGCAGTGAACTTCATGATGTGAACCCTGACATGGATGCTTGTCAGCCTGTAGCTGAAATCAGCTTCCATTTATTTCTTGGTATTGGTGATGACTCCTAGAAGGAAGGAATGCCCTGAAATTTTCTTCAAAATGTTTTAATGTTACTTTGTACTACCTAGCTTCGTTTTGTTATGTGCAGGCTCAATTGCATTGCAGCTGGGATTTTTGTTTTGAAGTAATATTCAGGTTAGCCTGTTGCATTCCTGCAGTCATTCTAATTGCTGAAAATACTTGCTGGTTTGACTAGGGTGAACTGAGCCACTTAAAACGGATTTTTACCATAGTTATATTTTACCATAACTAGAACTAGTACTTTCATTATCAACAATAAAAGTTGAGAATCAGGGTTTGTGGCTGATACCATCCATGACTTGGAAGTTACTTTACCTTTCAGTGTCTTTGTTGATATGAAAAAAAAAAAAAAAAAAAAAAAAAAAAGCCCACTCCAAACCATTATACCAGAGCTCTTTAACTAGTAGCACTTAAAAAAATTCTGCTAAGAATCATCTGTTCCAAGGCAAGCTGCAATACACAACTGTGACTATATGCCCTTAAAATCAGTAAAGAAACACTTTCATCAGTAAAGAATAGAGGAATTACATTTGAGTTATAATTTGATTAAAAATGTCTTCTAAACTGGGGACATAGGGCAGTCTCCACAGACACTTCAGAAATTTATTTGTTATTCCAGTACTAAGCACTCCTCAGATATTTATCATTTCTGTAAAATCTAATATCCCAAGATCTATGACATGCCCGCAAGAACAGGTGTATGAAAACCCTGACTTTAATTTGTGTAAAGCAGAACTTTTGGAACAATCACCATCAGGAACAAGCTCTGGTATCTGTGAAATACTTGCAAGCAACATATTTAGGGGATTAAAAACTCCTCTTTTTGACATTTGGCCTGCCTTGAAGTGAAATCTAATAAACTGAAAGAATGTCTGGGACACTTTCAGGTGCTAACAAATGTCTAGAGCTAAGAATAGATCTGAGTGAGTTTTAAGGGTTAGTTTACCTTTCTTGTCTTCTCCAGGATGTCAAAACTGCCATATCAGGCTTTTAGTGCATAGAGAGAAACTTGCTTGTCCTTCTTGAAAGCAATAATATTTTATATCTGTAGCACTACCCTAGTGAAATTTTAAAATTAAATGACATGGAATACAAATAACACCAGAATTTCTTTAATATCCTAAAGCATGAATAGAAGCATGTCTAGACTCAAATACAAACCACCTTTTATAGCAAAATTCAAATCCTCCTCTGTTCCCTGCCAAATGCTGAGTTCAGTCCCTGAGGGCCTGAGCTGAGTTTCCTTGGCTACAGCAGCTGGCATTGGCAGGGCAGGGAGTGCCGCTCCTGGCCTTGGTGTGCTGGGTGATTTCATCAGCTAACACAGGTCTTGACAGGTGCAAAGACTTTCACTTCACTTCAAGCACCGTAAAGTGCATGATTTGGGAGATTGGGTAGCTTTTAGATCCAGGAAGGGCTGGGATCAGGGATCCTGATTGTAATCCTCCAGGTCTGTCAGTAGTCTTTCAATGCATTTCTTCTAAACATAGAAATAACATTTTCTCTGAAATGAGTTCTTGGTGCATGCTGAATTTGCCAGACATTTCACTTTGAGGCAAAGATATGACAAATGTGCTTCCTAGCATTTTCATGTTGATTTATTCTTCCTCACAAAGGACAACTTCATAAAGAGTTTGAATCAGATCCATGTTCACACTTTACATATGCAATATTTTTGTGGCTGACAAAGCTGGCTTCCCAGGCAAACTAACTTGGAAATAAAGTCAAACCAGAGAAGGGTATGCTGAGACTGCTATACTTCAGTGGCTATTTTATTCCAACTAATCATCATTATTATTATGAGTAGATATTTACCCTTAGGTGCATTGGGCAGATCATTCTGACTCATCTATTTAATGGATGCTGTCCTCTTGGGTTAATGATTATCTTTTTAGTATGAAAGCTTTGTTAATCCCTATAACTATATAGGATGGCTATTTTAGTACTTACCATGTGACATGGATGCTGACATAACCTTTCTAGTATTGTTGGTTGTAGCTTGTATCATGACACTAGTGTGAATTATGGCTGTCTTGAGGATACAAACCTTCTTATAGCACAGATGGTCTGTAGGAAAAAAAAAATCCTGTAATGACGGTCTGCACATCACACATTCAGTCTTCCCTTGCAGACTCTTTCCTTTATCATTGCCTCATATTCTTAGGTACCTTTTAATCAAGCATCTAAGACATAATTTTTTGTTCTATAATAAAGATTGTAACGTGCAATTCCGGAAAATACCTCTGAAACCAGCATTATCACGGCTTCTCATTGGCCTCCCCCAGATTTCCTTAGAAATGTATCACCATTACTTCCAGACAGCTGATTTTTTTTACTCCTTCTTTGAAAGAACGATGAAAGCTGTGTAAGCTCATTAGTAGAGCATGTGTGTAGGCTTAAAATTACAGATAATAGACATATGGTTGGAAAATCAGTAATTCCTTTACGTATTTGCCAAGACTTAGGTCAAGGTTCAGGGTTTCCTTTGCTCAAACTGGTGAAATCAGAAATACCTCCAGGTGTTCTGGGGAGAGCTTGCAGTGCACATGCAAGATAGGTGATGAGGCACAGTTATCTCAGTTGCCTTCTGCAAGGGCAAGCCATGTTTACTCTAAATTACACACAATTGTGATGTGCTTTTCTTTTTGCCCTGTTTTTTTTTTGTTTAAGCCAATACTTTTTTAATAGTTCTTGGTGTTTTCTATGCACTCAAATAATCCATTTTTTTCTAACATTGTATTAAATTAATTGTAATAAATTTTGATGTCACAACCCTGGCTTTTCATGTCAGAGAGATTAATCAATTAATGTATTGGAAAATATTTGTGTGCTTAAAAGTAATCATAATTTTTAAAAAAATTACCTCCTTCCCACTCAAGGAGCACAGTCCTTGTATGTCACATCTGTATTTGTATCATGATTTCATAAAAAGTAAAGTGACATAAATATGTGTAAGCAGTCAGATATTTTAGAGAAAAATTAATCAAAAGGATGATTTTTACCCAGGTTCACCAGCTGTTTCTTCATCATAATGGTTGTATTGTTTTTGCTGGTAACAAAGCCACGAGCTTTAAATCCAGATCTTTTGGCTTAGATCTAAGAGAGGATGTGAGGATTGGCGCAGTTGTACATCTACATGGCATCAGCCTGGGGATCTGGATGCAATGGTGGGGGCAAAATCCACCCTTGCCATTGTGTTTGCCCTGTTTCAAATGTGAAAGGCCAGCTCTGCTGGAGAAGTTGCATTGTCTTGACAAATGGGTCTTTCTCTGTCTGAGTGAGAGTAGCACTGATTGTTTGAGATGTTAACATGGGCACATTGTCACCACTGCCCAGAGTGAGGCCACTGGCTGCTTGCATGTGGACTACCCTAGAGCAGTGTGACAGCTCCCCACTACACCAAACCCGGTCTGAGTACATTTTGCTCCTTCCAAATTATTTTCTATACATGTCTTGGAATATATATTCAGATACTTTTAAAGATAATTTTCAGAATATTGGTTTAAAACCAAATGAAAAATATTTTCCTCCTTTAAATCTCTCAGCAACATTGTAGGTGGAGTTGTTTCTTATTGTTCTTATTTTGCTGCCACAGTTATTCACGCTGATTTTTAAAGAATTATGGTCTGTGTGTGTGAGCGTGTGTCACCCTCGCTAGTCCATGTTAGAGAAACCAAAAGTAAATGTTACTGTATCTGGGGACTGCAATGACTTGTCCTTTTGACATTGACTTAATTTTACACATTTTTCAGGAAGCCAAAATTGAATGAGCACCATGCTATACTCCAAAAATCTCTTTTAGCCAGGTTCTCTCTATCAGGAACAACAAAAGTGTGTGAATATCATGACTAAAATGGAGTAATCCCAAACTAATACCTGTATTAGATTTCAAACCATAACAAGTCTAGAATAAGTCATTATTTTTAAAAAATGCTTATGCATCTGGCAGTAGAATTTTGTCTTAAATAAGCAGTGTTAAAGATAAAAAAGTAATGTTTTTAGTGGTGAACTGTGAAAGAGAGAATCTATACTCATCTTATAAAAGAATGTGTTTATTTTCATTAGGATTTTTGCTTACATACAGAAGTAATGCATACCTAAATTTTGAAAGCATATGAAGCTGGACTCTGATCAAAGCCTTAAAGAGATAGCAAGCCTATCCTGTTTTCAGATTCAGCTCTGTTTCATGTCAGAGAACAAAGTTTCTAACAGAGCCTCAGTAACTGACCAGCAATTGCAATTTCTTATGTTATTGTTTCAAAGTGTAAGATGAAATTCAATATAATTTTTTCTTCTTTTTTTTTTTTTTTTTTTCTTTTATTAACCAGTTAATTTAGGTGATGGGATAGAATACAGCCAGCAGAAGCGTGAAAATATTGGAGTTCTCATTCAAGAGACACTGGAACTCTTTGAACGCTACGGTGGAGAAAATGCTTATATAAACATTAAATACATGATCCCCACTTATTTCTCATGCATGTAAACTGAATTATATTAAATGGAATGATTCCATCTATGCTCTAAAAAAACTGTATCTGACTCTTTATGGCATCTTGTTAGTCATGCTTTATCTTCTCTACAGCTGCTAAAATAGTGGCTTCTGGGGCATTGGAGTGTTAGCACTATTGTGAACAAGGCTTTCCAATACATAAATAGTGTCTGTTCCTTTGATTACAATGGTGTACTGTGCTTGTTTGTTCCCTGAAAGAATCCCTCCTTTATAACAGAGCTGACTCGAACAAGAATCTGAGTTAAACCTTCACTTGTGTAGACAATAAAACTATAATTTTCATACGCGATTCAGCAATCGCTGTTCTGTGTCCGCTTGCCCTGAGGGTGATGTCAGAGGCTGTAACAAGAAGAGTTTATGCTGACTGCTTAATAGGTGTTTGTCATGGAAGAGAAACACCAGTTCAGCAATGCCTCTCTAGCAGCTGTGCCGAATAATGTGCACAGACATACAATAAAACTGTTGAATGTATATACCAATTGCAGCGGGAAAATTTATATTTTCCATTATAAAGCACTGTCATTAAATTAATCCAGGTTTCTTACACACTCCTGTTCTCAGCTTCCAGGTGTTTACTCATGGAACTTGTGTTCCTCTTGGTGAACATAAGGCACAAGCACAGTTTTGAAGAAAAGAGGCCCAGAAAAAAAACTTGAATAAACCAGATGGAAGATATGGCATACATAAAGTATCAGTCCCTAGCAACACTGTTAATCTGGATAAACACGGAATATATGCGTACATTTTTAAAGGGCACTTGGTATTTTTGTTACTGCAAGGTTGCTGTTGCTTTTCTGTTGTTATTTTTATGGTGTGTATGTGTGCAAAGAATGTAACTATTGTTGTAGGAATCCCTTACAATTTCCTACTCAGTTAGTTTCTCCCTGTGTACCCATAACACAGAACTGATATAATCATGGATTTAAGCAAAGCTTTTGAGATTGACTTTATTGCTTTTTAAGCATTTCTATGGAATAAACCTACAAAAAAAAAAATAAAATAAAACCACTCTTACAATTCTCAAGGATAACCATTTAAAATTATTGAGTCAGCTCAAAACAAACCAGAGATATGAACTTTTCCTGAAAACATGTGATTTTTAAAAGTACTTTAAAAGACTTTGGGCTCATCTGTCTTTTATTATGTTTTCTGGAGCTCTTCAAATGTATGCAAGTTGCACTTTCAAGAGTTTCACTGTAACTGTTAAGAGCCTGAAATGCACTCTTTGGTGTTAGACACATGAGACTTTCCCCAAGCGCTTATCCATATCCGTATTCACACCTTGCAAGGCTTGCCCAAGTGAAAGACACAGCCCCTACACTGCCCTGCTCTCTTGGATGCCTGCTGGAAGTGTGGGGAGCACCTTCCCACCTGCTGAAACTTTGCGCCGTATCTATCATTAGATTGACATTAGAACTTGCCTTTTTCTGTTCTGTGGCACCTTCAGCCTGAGAATTTTCTTTTACTTTCTTCTCTTTCCTGTAAATGGAAAAAAAAAGAAAAAAAAAAAGAAGAAGGTTTTTAATCTTCTCACCTCTTTGAGGAGCTGTACCTTCAAGCGATGCCATCAGCCACAAGCACTCATCAGCCCCTGGTTTAGGCGTGGCTGCTGGAGGTGTGCCTTTTCCCCAGGCCCCAAAGGCCTTCCTTTTCTGTGAATTTTCTTTTGTTCTTCCTGAGTTTTGTTTTACCCAATTTTTCCAGGGCTACCCTCAAGTCCCTAGAGTTGAGACAAGGTCTGTCCTGTGTCCAGCACACAGCCGCGATGGATAAGTACATCAAAAACTCTGCCTCCTGTCGAGGGTATCGACAAATCTTTTACCTTTTGGGCAGAAATGGAGGTGAAACCTGGCTGTAGGCCCGTATCTCTGGAAACTCAAGAGCTTTGTCTTAAAACCTGGCAGCACAGAGGCCAGCTGGATAATGCAGGGGGGCACAGGCCCTGTCCTCCCTTCCAAAAATGCTTTTCTACACAGCCACCCTGGCAGTATCCACACAGCCTTCGCTTACGGCTTCTCCCCATTTGCCTTGCATTGTCCCTGGCACCAATGAGCCATACTTTTTCATTTACTGACATCTATGGATTTGGTGACTGTGGCACTGCAGGCTTCCCATGAGTACAGGCTGTGCTGGAAAACTGCAGCTCAGAGGGAGCTGAGTTATTCAGCTCAGAAACAAACCAAGCCCTTCATAAAAGGAGAATTCCCAGGCCACCTTTCACTCCTCAGCTATTTGTATTCTTTTCCTTAAGAGAAAGTCCAGTACTGCTCTTTGCCTGAGATCAAAAAGCTCCTCAATAGCTGGCTTCGGTTCCCCTGACGCTGGGCTCCAGCCACACAGCCACTCGCAGAAGGGACTGTGCAGGAAAGGGCTCTCAGCCCCGGGTTTTCCCCATCCCATCACCCTCTGCATTCCCAACAGCTCTGTCGAGGATGAGAAGTTTCAGGCTCCTCACCAGCCTTTGTAATTCTGTTCCCCAGCCCCTTCTTTTTGCATCCCCTCCCCTTCAGCTCAGCTAGGACAAGACTGCTGGCTGACAAAGAGACACCATGGAAAATGGGTACTTTGTGAAGCTGCAGACTTGCCTGGGCCCAATGCCCTCAGCCTTGTGCTCTTTCTTGAAGATTTCTTTCACAAAACATAGGTTCAACAAGGGGTGACCTTATGACAAACCGTAAGGGCAATAGAGGTCATGCACATTCACATCAGGAAAAATAAGTTTTATAGAAAAGTGCTTTTATTTGCATGTTCAGGATGAGAACATTAGCCTCCATCAACACTATTCCTATGTCTGGTCCATTGATTTGAAAGTGAACATCCTCCCATTACTTTTTCATTTCTAGGAGCTGGACTGATAAAAAGAAGCATGATAAAACCCATGGCTTGGTAATTTAGAAACACTGAGAATAAAACCATTTTAAGATATCATTTTACTAAGTCAAACTCTAGGCCTTCCAACCTTGACAATGTCCCTTTGAGCATGATCAGCAGCATATTTATAGGCAATTACAGCACAGCTCAGAGCACTTTATAAAGCACAAGATCAAGGACTCAGGTGCTTAAGCATACAAGTAACACTATGTCATTCAATACACTGCTTAGCTATCTTACTATGCTGAAAAAAACCCCAGAATTATGGTTGAAAAATAGTGACTGCCTCTCTTTTGACCAGATAACATAATTGTGATCACAGATACTAGGGGTAAGCCAATAAAACAATTTTTAATTGTAATCAATTAAAAGGTATTCTGGGCAGGTGTTCCAAGTGGTATAAACCACTGTAGAGACATTAAGGCTAATTTGGCTTTACAGAAGTGGTGTGGTTTGTATTTGCTCTGGGGTCTTCTGCTGCTTTCTAGCTCTCTGGTGATGGTAAGGTAAGGAGCATCAGCGAATGAATGTGTGGAAATTTAAGTTTTAAGAACTGGTTTTCTGAAACTTCCTGTTTGAAACCTCTCCAGTTTATCTTAATAATTATGTTAGGTTGGCTGGCTATTGTTTAGCTTGAAGAAGAAAAAGCAAGTGATAACATTAGGGGGGAAAATGTATCTTTGGCTGCCTTTGTCATGCATGATCACGAGAAGAAGCATAGAATATAGTATTTTTGATGATTCCTCCCCAGAGCTGTGCAAGGGAGCTCTGTAACAGGTGTCAGAGTTTAGGGAACTCTGGTACTTTGTGAATGCTGGCAGGTGCTGCAGGGCAGTCGCTGTGCAAGCTATTGATCCACTGAGCACTTGGAGCTGCCCACGTGCAGGTGAGCAGGGCAGGGGTGGCTGGGGCTCCTGCAGAGGGGCAGAGCCTGGCAGAGAGGACGGAGCAAGATGCTGCCAGCGCTGGTGGCAGGGAGCCGGAGCCAGGCTTCTCGCTGGTAGCTTTCCAGTGTTTCAAAGAGATGGAGCTGCCAAAAAAGTTTGAAAAGAGCCTCCCAGGAGTCAAATACAAAAGGGCTGTGGGAAGTTGTAAGTGGGAGGGAAGGTATGGGACCTTAGCTGGGAGGGTGTTTGTGCGTGGGGTGCAGGGAGGTGCAGCTGCAGCCAAGCAGGGCAAAAATAAAACATTAGAGCAGACACTATGTGCTTTCTTAATCCTGTCTGGAGACCCTCTGACTTCCAGAAGAGCATTCTCCAGTCTGAGGGGCTCTGCAGGCAGTGGGGCACATCACATTTTTCCACTCATCTGTAACATCCTGTGTTTTCTGCCTTAAATAAAAGCAGTGATGTTTGTGGGAACTCCATATAAAGCCTGTCTGCTTGCAACCTCTCAGAGCTGCTTTGTGCCTCCTGGAGACTGGGAGAGGAAGGTTTATGCCCTGGCAGGACAAGAAGTTCCCTGCACTGGCCCCATAATCCTTCCGGCATGTGAGGGGAGGGAAGGGGAGTGTGTGTGGTGGGGCATATCTTAGCTGTTCTTGTTCTTGCCTAGCAAATCCAGCCTGGGTATGTCTGTGGGGCTCCTCGCTGAGAGCTCTCCCCTCCTTGGACAGTGCCTGGTGGCTTCTGGTGAGGTGGGTGGAAGCCTGCTTGAGCAGAGACAGCAAACCACAGCCTCAGGGAGGAAAATGTATATTTCTTGCAGAGTAGGGAGTCAGCTTTGTCCTTTACGTCCCATTTGTGATGCCACAAGTCAACAAATACTTTATTTTTTTTTACTAATGTTACTCAGGAGTGATTTGAGCAGCCCTCATGAACTTGGTCTCACAACCCCCTGTGATCTTGGTGTGGGCTGTGTGTGCAGCAGGACAGGGTCTGTGTGCTCAGAAGTGGGTGACTGCTCCCCTCTCTGGGCTTCCCTGTTAGCAGCAGAAACACCTAATCTTGGCCACCCTGCTGAGGCACTTTCCAACCAGGAATGTGCCCTGAGTCCCCTTCCTCAAGGGGAAAGGAGAGGCTGCTCAGATTTTTTTTTTATTGTTATTATTTTTTTTTTTAGCCAACAGAGCCCCTCACATAGAGCAGAAGCCTTAAGCTACAGAAGAATGGGCACCTTCATGGAAGAGAAAGCTGAGGGCACAAGCTGTTGCCAGGGGCAGTTTTGGGACCATGCCCTCTCTACTGCTGCTGTGGGTACCCATGCAAAGGAGCCCTCTGCATTTGCTATGATCTGGTGACCCTGGTTGCATGGGGTGAGAGGGGATGAAATGGGAACTAATCCTAGGGCTTTCCAAATACTGAAAGAAGTTAAATCCTAGCCTCCTTACTCTGCCTTGGTCAAGGTGGATTAATGCATTGAAGTAATAGGAAGAACGGGAGCACCTAAACAGAGCACCATAGTGTCGGATCTTGTATGACATACTCTTAGTTTATCAAATGGTCTCAGCAATCCAAACTTCCTCTGTTCATCTGCATAAGCAAAATGCTTTAGGAAAAAAAAAAATAAAATCAGAGGTTAAGGTTGTTGGAGGGCAGAATGGGATCAGCTATATACCAGCCTGCTGTTGTAGCTTGCTCTGCAGCAGTGGGAACATGCTGCTTGTGTTATGCTCTGCCTCTGTAGAGCTGTGATGCACAACTCGGCAGAAATTAATTTAGCCTGCCATACTTCATGTGACTGCAAATAAGTGCATGGATGCTTTGGGTAGTATACCCTCTCTGCAATGAGTGCTGCAGCCACTGCAGCTCTGTAGCTGCCACAGAGTCGTTCTGATCTTGCATGAAATCACATTGCTCTCTGATATGGGAATAGTGATCAAAGAAACCCTGTGTACAAACTCCTCAAAACACAAAAGATTAAAAGAAACCTCAAGGAGGTCTCCACATCACAAGTACAGCCTGTCAACAACATGTGTAGCAGTGTTGGATGATGAAGCCCACTGGGTATAGGCAGGAAAAATTAACATCTGACATAAAGCACCTACCTCGTGTTGCACATTATTGCTTTAATCAGGGGGCCTGGCTTTAAATGCGTGGTCCATCCAGTTTTGTATCAAATTTCAATTTCTGTTTTCTGGGTGTAATTCCTAAGCCCTTCCCTAAGGAGCAATTACCGAAAAGCAGCTTGGCTTACCCAACTCTCGCCCTAGAAGCAAGGAATGATATCCCTGCATCTGGCCATCTCCATCTTGTGCATTAGTCTCATTACTTCATTTTCATGTGTTTTTGCTTCCCGCTTCTCCTGGGTCCCTGTGGTGCTGTGCTGAGCTGGAAGAGGTGCTGAGGGATCTGTGTGGGTAGGGGGGAAGCTGATGAGAAGAGACCAGGAGTGAGCAGCTATTCCGGCAAAGGCTTTTCCTTGACAGTTTATGTTTTGGAAAATGTGAGTTTTGGGGAACTTGCGTCTCTTTCTCCCAGCACATTGCAGCATTATGGAGGAAGGGAGTGGAGGAGGCCTTATTACAGAGATGTTTTGCCTCAGCTACTGCCCAGAGAGCAGCTCTGGGGTGAGAAACATTAGCTCTGCTACAGGTGGGTGACAGGAATGAGAGCAAATGGTGGGAAGCTCTTGGCTTCCCACAATTTGCTGCCATTGTGAGCATTTAGAGGCTGCATTTGTTGACCTTTTGGGGCTCCTGACGCTGCATATCACCATCCCCTGCCCCTCTGGGCCACCATTTGCTCCCATGCTACAACATGGGTTCCTCCTGTGACCGCGAGTTCTCTGGGTTTTCTTTGGCAGAGCCTTCCTAGGCTCTGCTCCTGAGGAATGCCACACTGCTGTGACAAGAGGCAGCCTGGGACTTCTCCCCTCACTTTCCATGAGACTTCCAAGGCCTACTTGGAGCTGCTGATGTTGCTGGGAGGGAAGCACACGTTCAACAGCCATCTTCTCCTCCCGGCACTGCCGTCTCTGCCCCAGTGTGCTCATGGCAACATCCTGCCTTGATTGATGGGATGTTGTCACCATCAAAGCTAGGGGGTATCACCAGGCATCATGGAGCTGAGCTTTGCTCCTCCTAGCCAGTGGCACAACCTGCTGAGCCTCTTTTCCCTTTTCCTGCATGGGCTGTTGGTGATGTTTTCCCAGGCTGGAGCAAACCTCTTCCCCAGCACTTGCTGAGTAAGAGACTCTGAGGTGGGTGGTCTGCAATTCCCCACCTCTTTGGAAAGC